CGTCCCTCGGCGGGGTCGCAGCTGCCTCTGGAAGGCACCGAGATGTACCTTTCTGCGCAAATGGTGAAATCAAGGTTTTGTAACGCGAGCTGTGCCACAGTGAAATAGAGGGAAGATGATAGCGACGCCGACTGTGGACCTGCTACACCAACGGCTACAGCCCCAGCCAGCCCCGTCAGCCTCCCCTCGCCCGCCACCGACCCTGAAGCCGCACCTGTCGCTAACCCTCGCCGTGCCCCCCGAGTTCGAGCGATATGGTCCGATTACGTGCCGAGCGAGCAGGCGAGGGAGATCGGAGACGATCGGGGAGCACGATGCGTAATTGCCCTCGATGTTGACCCTCCCCCACCACCACTCTCCCCGGACGGCGCCGCTCTCGCACCTGCTATGGTCTCTCTCTCGATACACAACACGCTCGCCGACTTGGCAACAAGGGTTGACTCCCTCGCGCTAGGCGACGAACCTGCCCCCGCCCTCGGGGCGGGGGCCCCCGCCCCCCCGGGGGGCCCTTTGGGCCCCCTCCAGGGGGCGACCCCTCCGGGGAGGCCGGCTTTCCCCGTGCCGGTTCTCCCCAACCAACCCCGCCGGCAGCGCGAGCTGCCGGCCACATTGAGCGGTTCGTCCGCGTCGCGCACTCGTCCCAACCGGGGGCCGCAGACTGGTTCTGCGCGCCAACGGCTGGTGACGCTGTGTTGCCCTTGAGCTAGTCCTTCCCCGGTCGCCTAGCCTCTGCGCTGTCTGGCGAACGCCTGTATGCCATGCGCGCGGACCACGCTTGCGTGGATACGTGGCTGGCAGGCTGACCCGTGTGCGGGGTAACCCGCGCACGGGGAAGCTTCACGGGTTCGAGTCGCCAAACATTAAGCAGCGGAGGTGTGCCGAGGGGGACCGGGAGGCGGTAAGCCGTCGTCGCCCGGCGCTGCATGCAGCACCGCGGCGAGGGCGCTAAGAGGTTCCTCTTTTCCGCGCCCCCCCCGCAAGGCGCGCGATACACACACACACGAAATGGAACTAGCTTACCAAGGACAAAGCCGGGCGAGCACGGAGCAGAATCCAGAAAGAAGAAACTCCGAAAAATCCAGGGAGAGGCTTCTGTATTAAAACCCTGGGTATGAGAAATGGCTAAGCGAAAAGAAACGGGTCGGGCCACGGAAAAGAAGACCGCGAGTCAATCGACACATGCTGCGTATATGCGCATGGCCATCGTGAACGGCTCCTTGCACAGCGGACATGGCATTTGTGCCTCCCTGAGACGAGTGGAGCAACCCTCGCAAACGCAGTGGTGCCCGCACGGGACCCATGACGTGCGTGATCGGCTCGGCCATGCACACGACACATAAGTGGTTCAACCTCGCCCACTGCCGTTGCCGCCGTCTGAGCAGCGGCCGCCACCGCCTCGGCAACCTCAAAAGCTGCGAGGCGAAGCGCCGAGCGCCGAGAGCTCCTCGTCGCGAAGGCGTCGACCGCGCCCGCGTGTGGCGCTGCAGCGCGGCCAGCGCCTCGCGCACCGACGCTGCCTGCCCCTCCGCCGCCCGCCGCCTCCGCCTCCGCCGCCCGCCGGATCAGCGCCGCCGCGTGGCACTCGCGTCCTCACTCGGCCTCAGCGCGCCACCGCGTGCGGCAGCACGTGCTCGCGCCACACGTCGGACAGCGCGCTCCAGTCCGGGCGCGCCTCGGCGTCGTCGGGCGGAGAGAACGCGATCTGGTAGCCGATGCGCATGACCATCACTGCGTACGCGCGCGCCGCCGCGGGGAAGAGCGAGTGGCTTGCCGGCGACCACGGCGCCGCCGCCTGCCGGATCAGCGCCGCCACCTCGCCCTCGCCGCCCGCGGCGCGCTGCAGCGGCGTCGGCTCGCCCTCGTGCAGGCTTGCGCCGCTGCGCAGCAGGGAGAGAGCGCGGGCGGCGGTGAGGGTCTCAAGGTGCGCGAGCGGCGTCCAGCCGCGGCTGGCGACCAGCCAGGCGGCGAGGTCAGCGTGGCCGCGGATGTTCGCGACCCTCTCGGGCGTGGCAAAGGTCGGCACTGCGGCACGGGAGGCGCCGTAGGAGGAGAGGAGCTTGGCGACCTCGAGGTGGCCGTGGTGGCACGCCATGGACAGCGGCGTGGAGCCGTCTTCCGTGGCTTGGCTGACCGCCGCGCCAGCCTCGAGAAGCAGCCGGGCAATCTCGAAGTGGCCCTCCTGGCACGCGACATACAGCGGCGTGACGCCGCCGTCCATGGCCTGATTGACCGAAGCGCCGGCGTCGCGCAGCAGCCGGACGATCTCGAGCTGGCCCTTCGCGCACGCGATGAACAGCGGCGTGGCGCCGTCCGCTGCGGCTTGATCCTTCGCCGCGCCCGCCTCGAGGAGCAGCCGCGCGATCTCGAGGTGGCCCTGCCGGCACGCGATGAACAGCGCGGAAGCGCCGCCGCCAGTCGTCGCCCCGACGCTCGCGCCGGCTTCGAGCAGCAGCCGCACCGCCTCGGCTTGCCCGTGACGAGCGGCCCAGGTGAGCAGTGTGTCCTGCGTCTCGGTGTTGAGCCGCGTGTCGAGCTGGGCCGTTAGCGACGCACCGCGCGTCCGCCGCCCGGAGAGGAAGGCGCGCAGCGCGTCCAGGTCGCCCACCGCCAGCTCGGGCAGCAGAGTTGGGCTCAGGCCGCCGCTCATGCCGCCAGAAAGAAGAAAAAACGTGTCGCGAGATCTCTTTTGGCATGTGAGCGCTTCCCAGAGACGCCAGGATGGTTGGCTTCCACGCCTGCGGCCGCGGGCGAGCGGGCGGGCACGCATGGCTCGGCGACGCTCTGCGCGGGTCTTCGTGCTCGCAGCCCGCGACGAGCCAGCATGGCTCGTCGCTCGACGGCAGCCTGCTCAGTATGCTCTGGGCATTCTGTACAGCCTCGCCAAGCTCTGTGGGAAGGCCCGCAGGGCCAGGGCGGGTCGTCTAGGGCGCGACGGCGCGCTGAGTTGTACCATGACTATGAGCTCTCCGATCGGGTCGCCGGCAGCGGGCTTGCGCGGCGCGCCGCTCGAGGGCAGGCTGCTCCCCACCCTTCCAACAGTGTCTTCTACCTCGCTTCTTTCGCTGCAACCGTCTCCAGGGGCCGGCGCCGACCGCCTCGCTTCGCCAGCACTGCCTACGCCTACGACATGCGCGTCGGCTCGCCGCCCGCGTCGCCTGCGGCGGGCCCGCGTGGCGCGCCGCTCGTCGGGGGCGTGCTCAGCAGGCTGTGCAGCGCAGCCTGACTCACTCAGAGCGCCGCTGATGCGGCGTGGGACCGCCGGCGGCGCTGCTGCCGCGCACGCTGCGATGTGGGTGTCACCATCGTGTCCTCGCCGCGTCGCCGACGCCACATGCCGCTCGCGGCTGCCCTGCCCTTCCCTGCCATCGTGCAAACACACACACACACACACACACACACACACACACACACACACACACACACACACACACACACACACACACACACACACACACACACACACACACACACACACACACACACACACACACACATCATATTAATCATCGGGTAATAATTATTAATTATTAATCATCGGGCGGCGGCGCGGCGCGGCGGCGGGCGGCGCGAGGCGGCGGCGCGGCGAGGCAGCGGGCGACGCAGGGCGGGGCGGCGCGGTGGCGGGTGGTATAATTACTTATTAATTAATTAATAATGAATTAATAATCATCGGGCGGCGGCGCGGCGCGGCGGCGGGCGACGCGGAGCGGGGCGGCGCGAACATCTGCTCTGATCAGGCCTCCGGGCTTTGAGGCGGGGCAATGGTCGCGCCGCCCTCGACTCAAGGGGCTGCCTTCCACCCGTAGCTGCTCAGGCCGGGGGAGGGGGAGAGGCCCCCTGTTCCTCGCGGAACGTGCGCGGGCCGACCCCTTGCCCGGCTTCGATGCAGGGCGGTGGTCGTGCCATCGTCGCTTCGTACACAACCACCACGCCGCAACCGTCGCCGGCGCGCGACACGTTCCCGTAGGCCGGACTGTCCTCGTCGAGAGTGTGTGCCGCCAAGGCGGGACGCACTCAGGGACAGTGCCGACGGGACGCGGCTCGAGAGACGACTCCCGCGAAGGCACGGCTGGCATCCGTGGCGTGGGGCTCGTCTTCAAAAAGTCGGGCATGGCTCTACCCGCAACTTTCTCGCTAACACGCGCGCACCGCCGAGCCTGCGGCGGGCGCGCTGGCGGCCGCACGTCTACCTCCGTCATAGTGCCACGACGTGCGGCCTAGATTTAGCACACGCGCCTCTGCTCGCAGACACACTCACCCATTGAATTGTCACTGCCCGTGAGTGCGAGATAGGGCTAGCTGCTGGCGGCTAGCCTCTGAGGAGGGCGTCCATAGACACCTCACTAGACCCCACACACACGGTCTCGTCCGTGCCTTGCGGGTGGCGGTGAGATTGCTAGAGGTGGAGCAAGCCTGCTCTAGCCTCGCATGTCACTTCCTGAGAGAGAGATTTTTAGAAGCTCTTCACTTCCTGTCGTCTGTTGTGTGTTGTTGTGCCGTGTATAGAAGGTCAGGGTAAGGGTATGCCCTCGACCTCAGCGACGACGGCGACGAGAGACCTGCGCCTGTCTGGTATAGCCCCAGCCGACTCCGCGTGACCCCTCGAGGGATCTCGAGTCCCTCTGCTCGGTACGAACTCTGTTCACAGCCTTGTTATTGAGAAGAAAATACGTCCTATGGCGCTGTGCGCTGGCCTGTGAGAGGTTGAGGTGCGAGCCCTGGAGGCCCTGGGGATGGGGGGGGACTACCCGCGGGCTTAGAAGGCCCGCGCGCAGGGGGGTGGGGCATTGAGACCGGTCATGAATGAGTGCGCGACACGCATGTTGCGAGCAGCGTTTGATGCCTCCTTCCCACCCGACCGACCACTCCCATCGCCATTCCCGCACTGACATATAGGCGCTCGAGTCCTCCACTCGCTGCCTACTCGCTGCCTCTGGGGAGGAGGGGAAGACGTAGGGCGGGCGCCACTGCGCTAGCCGTAACTGAGGCCCCTCCCCGAAAGGCAAGCATTAGACCCATGAAACCGAGACCCCTCCCTCCCCCCCCGCCCCGATCCCCCCACCCCCTTGCTCCCCTCCCCCCCCTCGGGAGGGCCGAACTGAGGCGCCCGTGGGGACCCCACAATTCCCTTCCCCCCTCGGAGGGGGCCGGACGGAGGCGTACCCCGTGGGCCCCGCTCTTTCCCTCGCATAGCGGCCACTCTTCGGATCGCTGGTCGAGCGACCCGGGGGATGCCCCGCGCGCCTGACCCAGGCGCGAGAAACGAATCTGCGAGGCGAGGCCGCTCACGCGGCCCGATGGGGAGGAACGGGGCGAGCCCCCTCCAACCCACCCGCGCTAGGTCTCGGGGGACGAAGGGGTCACACCCGACGACCTCGGGAACTAGCCGGGGCAGTCGGAGAAGTGGCAACTCCGTGCACTGACGGTCGGCCGCCAGAAAACACGCCTCCGTGGCTCGGGTTACACCAATCCTCGCTACCCAACGCGGCCAAAGGATATCCACCTCGAGAACCTCGAGAGAACTACAAGATGACGCATCGCCACACCGAGCAGCTGGGAGTGGCTGCGCTATCAGACAGGGACCGAGGACCGCGACGCCAGCGAGGGCTCCGTACCTGTGCATATATGCACTACCCCTCGTCCGCCTCGTCCGCCTCGTCCGCCTCGAGGGCCGCTGCCCTCGCGCTGCTGACGGTCTGTCGGTGCGACGAGCTGCCGCCGATCCGCGGCATGCGCGACGTCAAGCCCTCAGACACATCGGCGAGTGAGTTTGAGGTGTGCTCGCACCGCACAGGCCACAGCGACCAGCTGTGTGCTTCGGCGGCCGCACGGATCACTAAGCGCGCTCGCCTCCTGTCGTCGTGAGGTGTGGATGCTCGAGTCCATCGAGGAGCAGTGGATCGCGCCGTGCCGCGCGTACGTCGGCGAGCAGCTCATCGGGCTCTGCATGTTTGGGCCCGCGCTGCTCATGGGCCTCTGCATCGTGCTCCCCGTCATGTTTCTCTCCATGCGAGAGCAGTCGGCCGCCGCGCAGGCGCGAGATTAGCCGAGACTTGCCGCCGGTATCGCGCAAGCGCATGACACCGCACTCCCGCCGATACCCGTCTCTCACGCTGCCGCCGCCTCCGCCTCCACCGCCGCCGCCGCCGCCTCCGCCGCCGCCGCCGCGATCGCCACCGCCGCTGTCCTTACCTGGCGCTGCGTAGCTTGCCGCTGATGACAGCGGTGGCCCGCACGCATCCGCCGCCGCCGCTGCTGCAGCCACCAGCCTCGCCGCCGCCGACCTCGCTGCCGCGCCTCCCTAAGCCCGGTCCGTCCCTCCCGCCCTCTGCAGGCCAAAAAGAAAAAGTAGAGCCGCCGCCGCGGCGAGTGCTGCACGCCGTGGCCTCCCGCCACCCAGAGCGGCCCGGACGCCGTCAGTACTCGCGACACACGCGAGTCGTGCACGGCTCACTTGTACTACAGTACAGGACCGGGGCGGGGCCGAACCGACAGCCGTCAACCGGCACACTCAACCGTACCATTGTACTACGGCGCGCAGTCGCTTCGGTCTCGCTGGCACGTGCCACCGCTCATTCATGGCAACCTTTTTGTATCATGTATATTTGCCCCGTGCGCCCTGCCGCGCCTGTCGCCTGTGGGGGGGTGGGTCGCTTTCCAAACCGACCCAAGCGAGAGAGCCGAGACCCCTGCACGCCGCAGCCCCAGCCGCACACGTACCCGCGACAACGCACACCGAGAATAGAGGGGGCGCCCGAGCCCCGAGCTCCACGTTGGCACACGCTCGACCGAAACGGTGCGCCCACCGTCAGAGAGAAAAGAATAACTGAACGCCGCCGGACGACCCTCATCCGGACTGACCGTCCTGCAGACGGACTGACCCATGCAGGGACCGCGAAGCCACACCGACGCGACACCCGCCGAGGCGCGCCGCCGCGGCCACCGAACGCCGTGTCTGCCGCGCGCCCGTGGGCACCAGGCACCAGAGAGACCAGAGAGACCAGAGACCAGCCAGAGACCCGACTCAGACGATGTTGTCGAGGTCGTAGGTCGTGAAACGGAACGGCACCTCGCTCTCCTGCAGCGCCTCCTCGATGGCCTGTGGGGAAATCGGGCGAGAAAGATCGGCACGATCGCAATCTCAGCCCTCCTCCGCCCGCTCTCGCCGCGCCCTCGCCGCGCCCTCGCCGCGCTCTCGCCGCGCTCTCGCCGGCATCTCGCCGGCATCTCGCCGCGATCTCGCCGCGATTTCGCCGGCATCTCGCCGGCATCTCGGCGGCATCTGCCTGGTAGGTTGGGCGGCTCTCCTTCCCCTCCAGGAGCGGCTCCCAGCTCTCGCTCTCCGGCGCAAAGTAGCACGCCTACTCCACCGCCAAGCTCAGGCGCCGTTCACGGAGCCCACCGTCGAGGGCCGTGCCGCCAATCTCGGCCAATCTCGGGTGATCTCGGGCGAGCTCGGGCGAGCTCGGGTCGTCTAAGCGGCGCGCCGTCCAGCTGAGCGGGTAGCTGAGCTGCAGGCAGTCTAGGAAGTGTCTAGGAAGTGTCTAGGAAGTGCCGTCCAGCCGAGCGGGTAGCTGAGCTGCAGGCAGATGCGCGAGCCGCGGCAGACGTACTCACTCAGCGTGTACACGTCCACAAAGCCGAGCGCGGACAGCTCCTACACAGAAAGAAACCGTGCGTTGGATGGGAGCAGATAGCTGGGCTTTCCACCGCACTCCGAGCCCGGGACGCTCCTTTTGCAGCGCCGCCTTGCCGCCGAGCGCGTTGCCCAGCGCGCCGAGCAGACCGCCCTTGCGAGAGAGCGCGTCAAAGGGGTCGTCGCCCTCGCGCCACTGCGGGTTGACCATGAGCAGCGGCCGCGCACCGCACTCGCTGCAAAGCTTGCGGATCGTGGCGAGCCGGTCCGGCGTCGGCTGGACGAGGCCAACGCAGTCGTCCTCCGGCTGCGAGGACTGCGCGAACCAGACGCTCTCGCCGTCGACGCCCGACACGTCCAGCCGCTGCTCGTTGAGCGACGGAGGTACGCCGGCCACCTCCGTGGAGAGGCGGCGCAGCAGGTCGCGGGTGAGTGGTGAGCAGGCCGCGAAGAGCTGCATAATGCCGCCCTCCCACGACTCATCGGGCGGACTCAGCCCATCGCCGCGCGGCAGGAAGAGGCGCAGCGTGTGGCGGTTGACGCCATCGGCACGGGCGCGGCCCACAGCGGCCGCAGCCTGCGCGAGCATCTCCTCGCGGTTCGGAGGCGGGCGGATCGCAGTACCGACCGTGCCCGGAGTGACGAGCGCCGCACAGGGCGCGGCGAATAGGAGAATCGCAGCGGTGGTCATGCCTGGAGAGACGAGGGCCGCCCAGAAGCCCAGGAGAGCTTTTCGGGAAGGTGCCGTTCGGTGCGCGATATTCTTCAGGTGAGCGGCAGAAAAAAAAATTTGCCGGCCAAGGAATGCCGTGCCAACGCTACTCGTAGCTACAGCCGGAAAACTGTAGCCGTCGCCATCCATCATCATCGCACGACCCATCAGCAGCGTCGCCTACGCGCACGGCTTCCTCTCCTCGGCGCAGTCGTCAAAGGGCCGCTTCCTCCGCGAGCGCTTGGCGCGGCACGGCATCGATGTCGAGCTGCTCACCCTGAACGGCGAGGCGGGTCCGGCGGCCCTCACGCCGCAGTCGGCCCTCGACGCGCTGCAGGCGCACTGGCAGCGGGCAGGCGGCGTTCCGCTCACGCTGGTCGGCTCGAGCTTCGGCGGCTGGGCGGCGGCGCGCTATGCGGAGCTTCATCCCGGGAGGGTGCGGCGGCTGCTGCTGCTCAACCCAGGCTTCGAACTGGGGAGGAGGTGGGAGTGCATCGTTGGGACCGCCGCGCTCGAGGCGTGGCGGCGCGACGGCGCTCGGACCTTTGCAATGCCGTCCACCGGCGAGCCTTGCCAGGTGCCGAGGGAGGGAGTGCGCGGCTCACCAGCTCACCACGCTCCTCCGCCACGAATGCATCCGACCTTGGACCTCCGCCCTCCTACGCCTACCGCTCTCCAGCCGCCGCTCTCCAGCCGCGTGCACGCCCTCCCCCTCTCTCCCCCCACGCCTCTCCACGCCCGCCGGCAGGTGCCCTGGTCCTTTGTGGAGCAGACCCGGGCCGAGGCGGGCACGCCCGCGGTGAGCACGGAGGCCGTTGTGCTGCACGGCCGTCGCGACGAGGTGGTGCCGCCCTCGCTGAGCGAGGCCTTTGTACACGCCAGCCCTCTGGCCAGGCTCGTCCTTCTCGAGGACGACCACGCGCTCACGGCGCCGCCGAGCCTGGAGCGGATCGCGCGGGAGGCGCTGGCGGCGTGTGGCGGCGAGGGAGGCTCGCCGCGAGTTGGAGGCCCGCCGCGCGCTTGGGACTAGTGGATGATCGCAAATTGGAGGTAGACGAGTAAGAACGTGCCGCGCAGAGCGTCTCGGTTCGTCGTCCCGCGCGGGGCCGGCCCGTGGGGCTCCAGAAGGGCCGGAATCCTCGCCGCTGGTGGCGTGTCGCAGTCTCGGCACACCCGTGATGTGCTCTGTGATGTATGACTTCTAGCTGGGAACGGTCTAGCTGGAGCGTGCGCGGGCCGCGGCCCCGCGGGGACACCAGCGCGTTATGGGTGGACGCGAGAGAGAGAGAATTCTTGATACGAAACCACGACGACACACACCAGTCGACTCGCATCGGTTGCCTCCATGAACGGCGGAGCTATTCTCGCGCCCACACCACACCTGGCTCCAACGTGGACACGCCCATAGCTGGGGACACTACTAGGTCACGCATGGCATCACAGAAGTTTTATCTCTGGGCCCCGAAAAGGCATCTCTAGCAGCGTCGTTACGCATGCCCCCTCCCCTCCTGGGCGCATGCGCCTCACGTCTCGCCAGAGCATACGCCCTTGGTGTGTGGCGAGACGAGTTTTTCGCCATGCAGCGAGCAGCAAGCCACCCGCCGCAAACAGCCGGAGGCCTCTCTCTCTCTCTCGGGTGGACGCTAGACAGGAGGTGAAGAACATACAATCCCCCACCCACACTTTCCCAAAATCCTCTTCATCGTTGTAGGCAGACACGCCGTTGTTGGTCCTCCTCTTGGTCCTCTCACTCCTCAATGGAGGCGCCTGCCCTCCCACGGCCGACCGCGGCCTATTTGCGGCAGAAGAGGGAGGAGCACCGCGGAGCGGCGCCGCAGCAGGCGGTGATGCAACGCAATGGCTACGACCCGAACCCGGAGCCGATCAAAAAGTTCGGCGACCTCCACCTCGACGAACTAGACGACGAGAAATTCCTCGCCAACGGCAAGGACGCCGGCTGGTGGAACGATCTCATCTCGTACCCACGCGACCTCTGCTACGCCTTTTGCTACCCGTGCCCCATGTGCTGCCCGACGCGCAACCTCGCCTGCTCTCTCGCCTTCAATATGTGCTGCGGCGTTCAGGCCTGCAGCGACGTCGGGTGGAGGTTCATGTGGCATCCGGAGTTCTGCCCGCTCGGATGCTGCACGCCCTGCCTCCCCTGCACTGGCCTCGGGGAGAACGGCGATCAGGGTGTCTGCGACGTGGCTTGCATCTGCTGCAATGTGAGCCCGATGGCACGCCAACAGAGCTTCACATACTGGCTCCAGCGGGGTGCGTCCGCTGGCTCGGAGGATTCGGCGGCAGGGTGCTGCGCCAAGTTCTTCCGGCCAAAGCCGGTCCCATATCCCTGGCCGCACCTTCCACCAGACAGGTGGCCGCCTCAGTACTCGGAGTCGTCGCCCTGCTCCATGCAGCTCTTTAGCTGCTGTTGCCAGCTCTTCCCGCTCCCCTTTGGAGACAAGTACGACAATGTCGCTCAGTGGCAGCCCCCGTACGGCGGAGGCTTCCCGTGCAGCTGCGCCAAAGAGTACGATCCGAACGGCCTCGCTTCGACTGCGGAGGTGCGCCGGCCGGGCGGCAGCCACACCGCTCCGAGCTGTCACCCTTGGCTCACCATCCTCTGTTGCCAGTCGCTTGGGCGTGGACAGGGGTCCGATCTTGGAACTAAGGTTGCCTACTGCTAACTACTACCGCG